GACCGACAGTCTGGTTGTATATGGACTAGCCTCAGCACGACTGCTCTTGCTGGTTGTAGAGGGCTTTTCCACAGCACGACCGACAGTCTGGTTATATAGGGTGACGCCTCAGCACGACCGCTCCCTTGCTGGTTGTAGAGGGCTTCGCCTCAGCATGACCGACAGTCTGGTTGTATATGGACTAGCCTCAGCACGACCGCTCTTGCTGGTTGTAGAGGGCTTTTCCACAGCACGACCGACAGTCTGGTTATATAGGGTGACGCCTCAGCACGACCGCTCCCTTGCTGGTTGTAGAGGGCTTCGCCTCAGCATGACCGACAGTCTGGTTGTATATGGACTAGCCTCAGCACGACTGCTCTTGCTGGTTGTAGAGGGCTTTTCCACAGCACGACCGACAGTCTGGTTATATAGGGTGACGCCTCAGCACGACCGCTCCCTTGCTGGTTGTAGAGGGCTTCGCCTCAGCATGACCGACAGTCTGGTTGTATATGGACTAGCCTCAGCACGACCGCTCTTGCTGGTTGTAGAGGGCTTTTCCACAGCACGACCGACAGTCTGGTTATATCGGGCGATGCCTCAGCACGACCACAATTGCCTAAGTACTCGGCTATGTGTTGCAGATGGCCTGGTCTATTCAAACTTCTCTAGCAAGTTTCTCAGCATCATAAATTTCCTTGTCTGATTCACTTTTCAGCCCTTCATAGCTCTACCAACAATCAAGAGCTTTTTCCTTCAATGCATAATTGGTTGTCATAGATAACAACTTTACACTGACATTAAGTTTGGCTGACTCACAAGATAGACATGGTAGTTTCAGGGAAGCCACGGCCAGTACTTCCTGCCAGCACTCTCCATCTTTCGCCCATCTCGCTCCGGAGGTATTGCTGTGCATTTGATTAGCAATGGATTTCACGACGACTGACAACAAGGTCCATTTTGCCAGAAAAATGTCTGGCAAACCACAAAGTGTGTTCTTGCTAGTGAGTATTTGCTCTCGGTCACCCCCTAATCACTGCGCTGATGACTGTAAACTAGCGAGGTGATTCTGGTCAATGGCCATACTTGTTCCTCCGGACTGGCAATATTCTCCTAGAGAACCAGCTATGGACAAGGGTCTGTCCCGATCTCCACCACTGGCCTTGTCATCATCAATATGCGCTCACCATCGTTGTCGTTTTTGGGAGGGCAAAAAAGATGAGCGCCATTGGGATTTTGCAAGGACTTGTCGGCAGGTGAGTTGTCACTGCGGGTTACATGTCTTCCAGCCCGGCCTCTCCACGGATCGGAGACGCGACGCGTTGTTGGAAAGGCATTTGCCGTGATCTTGCTGATTTCTCGCGTCGACCAGTTCTGCCGTGCTCAGCCAGCAACACGTTTGGAGACTTGGAGTCAGAAGCCTCTTTTGCGCCGATTAATGGTGAGTGTTTAAGTTGCTGTTGCTGTCTCCGTTCTGACTTGTCCAGTTGCCGCCGAGTTGCTATGGGGGAGAAGGAACAGCTGACGGGGATCAACCAGGGCCGGCGATGCATTGGAGTCGGGATGGTGAGTTGTCTTCTACTGCCGTTGCTGTTTCTACCTTGCTGAGTCTGCGCGGAGTTCTGTTGTTGTCGCTGAAGAAGCCTGCTATCTTCATCGTCACCATCCACCTGCTCCTGCCCCATCAGTCACTGGCATAATTGAAATCGGCACCATCCCAGTAATTGCCAGTGTTGGAAGCAATGGGCGGATGAAGGCCACAAGTTGTGGACAACAACGAGCTCGTTGAGCATGCATTATCATTTCAAGAGTCTCGCACTGGAGACTATCTTTGGTGAGCTCCAACTTGAACTCGAAATCTTCACACATCCCACTTACCTCGTTAGACCCAGCTTTGCGCTTGTCGTCGTCCGTCCGTGCTGTTGGTGTAAGCAAGCCGAGGCTTCAGCGCCGTCCGAGCCGGACCTCTCGCTGGCGGGAATTTGCAACGCGTTCTCGAAGATGCTGCACCTCCGTGATTTCGTATATCTGAGCCTCCATCTAGTACAGTATGTCGACTTGTGGGGTTAGATGGGTATGAAATGTCGGAGGACTCGGAGCAGACACGTATCTCTGAGTGAAAGGTGTGCTGTTGTCTTGAGTCCTTCCTATACCAGCTAATGGTCCTCTTCAGATCCAGTCGCATAACTGTCTTTGCCCCCTACGACCCGCTCGAATCCCGTCATCAGCCTTCGTCAATGCATGTACCCGGACGGACATGAGCGGGTTGGCAGAAAAGGCCACTGTCCGTCATTGTCCCTCCGGCTTTGTCACTTTTCCAGCTAAGGCGGATCCTTAGGTTGAAGCAGGTCTGAAACCTGCGAGGAACCGCTTGTTCAAGCCGCAAATCGCATTGGCACCGAGCCCGGGCCCGTGTCACCGAATCCACCCGGGCCGCCCGTGCGAGAATCTGGGCCCACAGTCAACGACGTGACTTTGGCGAGGGTGGCGAGGGCACCACCAGCTCGAACGAGGGAAGATCGTCCCATCGGGCCGCCTTGCCTTCTCGTGCCAGCGGTCGACGACGAGTGCCGTTAGTGAAGCTTCAAGTTGGCCAACCGCCTCAGGCTCCGCCAACCCGCCTCCACCAACCCAGCCCTAGGCTCCCTTCATGCACCTGCCAGGTCGTGGCAAAGGCTTTCGCTAGTCGTAGCAAAGCTAGCGTCCTCGTCTGTGTTCGGACCGGCCGGCCGGAGCCCCCGTGGGAAATGCCACGCTGGCAGCTGCTGTTCTTCTCCACCAATGCGCTTGGCCCCTTCTTGCCAACTACCCGCCAAACGGCAGTTTTGACGACCGCCCTCGCTGCCCAACTCGCGCGCGAGATTGACTTGACTAGCGAGAACTGGTGGGCGGGACAGCAATAGATTAGCCGAGTTCGAGTGCTTGCCCGCCTCAAATCGCCAAGACCGCTTCTCTAAAGCGTCTATACTACTTCCGTTCGCGCACCAGAAACCGCCCGCGGACTACTATGTCAATGATTAGAAGTCGAAATCTCAGCGCGTAGAGATGGATGGTTCCACGATGCCTGGGCGCGACTGGCTTTATGTTGCGCGGACACGACCCGCAAGTTAGACATTCGAGATGATATGCTACCTGTGGTTCGCACCCACCAGTAGCAAACCCACACCTTCCCCTCATCTTTCATTGCCAACCTCGCCAACGAACTCGACCCCTTCCCCTTCTCCTCACCAAACGGCTGTCCTGACGACCATGGGCCGAGTTCCTCGTTTTTCATACGAAGACTCGAAATACAACACAGTTATGAACGACCTATGGAGTGCCGTTGGACATCTGCACACTTATACGCGAGTTTGGTTTTGGAGACTAGAAACAGGCCAGTGAGGGCGACACTGCCGGGCCGGGTGGCGACTGGTGCGCGGAGCAGAGTGCCTCGAGCAGCGTTGGTCGCGTGGGTATCTCACGCTTTCAACCGGTTAGCGTCGGGGACACGTTGCTACGTCGACGCAGAAGATCGTGTTTGAGGTTTAGAGGAAGGTGCGGCTCTTGGTGGGTGTTACGACGTGGGCAGCTCACGTCGGAACACAGGCGGGATTGTCGCGCCGGCGCTACACTATGAAAGGACTTCAGCAGGAAGAACCGGTCCGAACGGCAACACTTGGGGAAGGACTCGAGTTGGTACCAACGGCCGGCTCATCTGCCACCGAGCTGGCTCGGCACTCCACACCAAACCCTGCGCCGTGCCAACGCCTGCAGAATCTCGCGGCACGGCCACAGCCACAGCCACCGAAATGACGAACACGGTGGGGTTTGCTCGGGCCGGGCGCATGGTTAGGGCTGCGGGCTGCGACGCGCGCGCATCATAATGTTGTTGGGCGCCAGCGCTGGCGGAGACAGCGGGGTCCGGGTCAAGGTGCGTAAAATTTGGCTGAGGTAACGCGCAAACTCACGCTTTGATGCAGCGCCAAATGACCCCCGAATTGTGGGATGGCAGTGGCCGGGAGCCCGACCTGCAGCGGAACCCACGCGTGTACCCGTCTTTTCGGGGCAGGAAGCGGGAATCGGGGGAGTAGAAGTCAATGGAGGATTTGCTGTACTGGCCAGGGCCGCCAGGTAAGGTCGTTTCCGTCTGCTTCAACTAATCCACTTGCTTGAGTAGGTTCTCGCAGTCATTTTATGTTCAGCGGACGTGAATCAGGGAAGTGCTGGGCTAGCCAAACAACTCGTAAGTTCTTTTCCCGTGAGTTTCAACCAGCTGACTCACCTGAATCTTGAGGTTGCGGGGGTGGCTCACAAACGGCGCTGCCGAATGAAGCGTGTTTGTAGCAGTGCCGTTTGAAGCGCGTTTGTAGGTACTTGTGTAATCAATTGGGGATGGGCTATAAGCATCCGTGGAGAACTTGAGGCAATAGAGAATTTGGGTTTGTGCTCTGCTTCTTGCAAGTCTGCTGGGGCTGGGTGGGCATTTATAGAGGCAAAATTTGTTGAGCATTTGTGCATACCTGGGATGTTAAACATGGTAGCTGAAATAGTAGCTAATTATAGAATCCCAATCAGAATCCCAATCAATGATAGTCCCAGAATTTGGTCACAATATTCCAGCCTGGAACATGTGATATATTCCAGGCTGGAATACGGAATGAAAACATGAGGCATATTGAGAATATTCCACGGATCTGCCCAACATTTTCCGGGCTGTCATATATGTGGCAGATGGTGAGAAAATTAAGAATATTCCACGGATATTCCTGTCATATTCCAGCCTAGAAAATGGAATGAATACACCCTGTAATATTCATAATATTCTCAACATATTCCAGGGTGGAATATGCTCCATTGCCCGCAGTGTGTGGGGACGGACTCCATTGTGAGACCTGTGTGGAAGCCGCTCATCAGAAATTGCCGCTCCATGAATTGCAGGTATTTATTTCTTCACCGATTTTGTTACTTGTTTACCTAGCTTGTTTAGGAATGGACGGGTCACTTCTGGACGAAGGCCTCCTTGTTTTATGCCGGACCCATCCAGCATGGAGCTCGTGGTTTGGCGGGCTGTTATCAACTTGGTCATGACGGTGCCCCATGCCCATTCCCCAGTAACCGTCGACCGTTGGTGGTCATCGATGTCAATGGCATTTTTACTTTGGACGTGCAGTACTGTGGCTGCGTGAATCCGTTCGGATTCGACCCCGTCAGACAATTGCTTCGAAATGCGTGGTATCCGGCCACGACAACAAACCCTGCGACCTGTGCAACCTTCAACGTTTTGGAGACATTTCGCTTCCTGCGCTCCATCGCAAACATCAATGTCCAAGACTATGTGCGCACGTTGGAGAAGTTGACGGATTCAACCGGACTGGAAAAGGTCCCAGATCGTCGCGTTGCTTTCGGTCGAATGGCTCGACAATACAGCTATCTTAAAATGATGAAGCGTGGAGGTCGCGGGCATGAAGCCAATGGAATTGTAACTACGCCGCCAGGGGCGTTGGCTGTGCGTTGCTGGGCATGCCCAGATGCTTCTCGTAACTTGCCTTCCGGATGGGACAAGGTTCCGGAGTCGAAGGCGTGAGTAGCTATTTAATCAAACTATTCTTGACCAACAAATGTGCAGATACTTGTATAAGCTCATGTTGGCATTCGATGCCAATTTCCGCCTGAAGAACAAGCTTCGTGCTGGAGAACGCATGGATCCGGCGTTGACCGATGGCTTGGGATACTTCGTACGATCTGGACCATATAAAGAACATATCAAAACGCTCGTTGACGAAAAAGATGTCAGTGCGCTCTAGTCGAATCTATTCCATGTTAATGCGATACTTCAGGTCCAGGCTTGTGCTGCGTTTGCTGCTCTTTTGCAGAAGGAGACCAAATTGACCACTGGCCTGAGAGTTTCTGGCGTAGTTGGTTGTGTCTGTGCACGGCACGGCCTCGTGCGTCGTCGGGGATGGGAGACCTTCAACGTGGAGAACGGCAAGTTGCTTGATGCCAGGAACAACTTGGATACTAACTCTTTGTGCCAGCTATGGAAACGTGGATTGGACCGTGCTATCAACTCTGTCAGACGAGGAAGTTCTGTGGGTCTTGCTTGCATACGACATCGTATGTCACTGGCAAGTATACTTTCCTGAGCGCGTCGCACGAATGAAGACAACGGGCGTGGATATCGAAGAGATATTCACCGGATTGGACCGTATTCGCCTGCAATACGGACTGCCGGTCTGGCATGCTGAAGCTCATGACCCCAAATGTCGAATTCAGTTTGCGCTTAGGTACTTGTTGGGTGTTGGAAAGACGGATGGGGAAAGCACCGAGCGTTTGTGGAGCCTACTCAATCCCGCAAGTTGGTCGACAAAGGAAATGGGAGAAGGCGCCCGTCATGATGTCCTGGAGGACAAGATCGACCTGATTAATTTTGAGAAAAACAGGAGCATGGGTCAGTTAAGGTTTCTTTGAGAGTTTAAGCTCACTATTTGCAAGGGCGGACACTTGCAAGACGTTTGATTGTCGCTGTAGCAGAGCGTCAAAGGCAGGGCATTGAATTCCAGGAGCTGGACGACAGCGTTCCTAAAAAAAAACGACGTGAATGGGCCAAGATGATGGATGCCTGGTATAAGGATAACACCCAGACGAATCCATTTGAAGTCCAGGGTGGGAAGCTCGGTATGCATGACGTTGAATACCTGTTGTAGCATTGATGACCTGTCTCGACAGCCGGGCCTAGTGAACGCGAAATAAGTGAAGAGTTGAAACGAGCTGAGGTGGAAGATGCACGAGCCGGAATCAAACCTTTGCTGGAAGGTAAAATGACCATAACAGCGTTCATCAGAGCGGGTATGCAGCTTCAGGCCATCCAGTATGTCAAAGTCTTCATTCCACACACTCTATTCACTATCCCCAGGCGTCGTATACGGACTGCTCTGAAGGCAAAAAAGTCAGCAGATCAAGCGAGCCAGATACAAGAATTACGTCTATCTCTGATCAAACAAATGCGCACCTTCGAAAAAACTTCAACTAACTTACATGCCTGGGGTTCAGGGTCTTCGCGACGCAGCGGGTATAAATTGGACGCGGAGGACGCGCAACCGAAAACGCAAAAGCTTTATCTTCCGTCACAGTTAACCGCGGAAGAGTGTCGACAAGTCAGCATGGCGGACTTGATTGAGACCGAAGCGAAATTGCGTCGGGGACAGTGTGCAGATGCACTGGCTGCCTTACGAGGGAGGCTTCATTCGAAGCAACACATGATTTGGTTTCGCGGGGAAAACATGGTGGGGCAACGTGCAAGAACGCGCTCCGTCACTCTAATGGCTCGGATGGAAGAAGGTGTAACGAAGGCCGCTGCCAAATATACTGAAGGCTACGAGGCTCTCGTTCACCTCAAAGGCAAACGTTACGCTCCCGAAGTTTCAAAAATTGGACAAGGCCCATTTCAACACTCGTATCGAAATCGAGAGTGACGAAGATGCAGCAAGAAGCTTACGAACAGCAGACGGATCGCGACCTACGAGAGAGGAGACTGCTGCAAAAAAAGAGAAAACCAAGACGGCGCCAATTTCCTGGATTTGGGCAGCAGGCGGGCAGGCCGACGGGGTTGAACTTCATGACTGTGAGTAACTATGGCTTGTTGACCATTTGCTTTCGGTTGAACGTGGTATCATAGCTATGCGTGTCGAGTGGGCAAAAGCACGTGCACGGAAGGAACGCTGGAACGAGGAGGTTGAATTGTTGCGAGAGGAGATGAAGCGGGTCATGCGATCATTGAAGTGGGAGGCTTCAGAATGGCAAAAACGAGCCGACGAAGTTCGTTCAGACGTTGATGGAACGACGGCGGCTGGAATCCGAGCTTATGCGCTGCGTAACGTGTACCTGCATACTGAATTTATAGTGCGCTTTCGAGAGGAGTGGGACAAAACAATGGGAGCTGCTGTCCGTCATTGGGCAGCAGAGGAGGAGCGGGAAATATTAGAGGGAACATTTATGGCAGAGGGAATGTAGAGAACAATGTTAAAATTGTATGATTCGGACCAAATCAGTCGTAATGATGATATCAAAGCTGCAGGATAAAGCGGAGTTCGGAGATCAGCGGCAAGGAAGCACGGAAACGGGTGGGGTTCGAGTGTTGTCAGAGACCTGGCAACACACAGGGATGATGGAATCGGATTTTCTGGCAGTTCCCGGGGATGATTGAAACAGGCTACAGCCACGGGTGCGCGAGATGATGCTGAAGTTTTGGCAACGACATCCGACTGATGACCCTATGCTTGTCTACAGATTCGACAAGTGTCCGGTGATTGTGGAATGCGTTGATCTAGAAGAGTGTCGCGAAGATGGTGGAATTGATGACTGGGGGTCCTCGAATCCGTTCACGCTAATCAATACACGAGGTGGCCAGGTTACATTGGACCTTGCAGTGGTGAAGGTGGGGACTGGATGTGCGAGCTGGCTCGTGTCGCGTCGCTCAAGTGCCCCGATGAACAGGCAGTGGTGGAGAAACGGTGTTATAACGGACATCTTCCACACGTGATATGCACAGCCCATAATATAAGCACCCTAATAAGCTTTGTCTTTTAACTCGCAATGTAAATTACATCGCCTTCTCTCTTCAAATGGCAGGGGTCACCAAACGCTGCTGCTCTTCCTCTCCCACCACACAAAAATTCGCAGCATGCCTCGCACAAAAAGCAAACCACCTCAGGTAAAAATCCAAACTCGGTGGGATTCTTCCCCTTTAATCCTCTCTCTAGACCACCGATAACTCGAGCGGGACTCCCTCACTCCCACATGCGGGTGGGCTCACGCATGCAGAACGTGTCATATGTCGTCATCTTGCAGATGCTGAAACAGAGGAAAACCTTGCTGCAGCTCTTGGCTGTCCTCTTACAGCTGTACTCGAAGCTATCAACAATCTAGACACCACCAGAACGAACCAAAGAGCAATAGACAACCTCGCAAAGGACCCTGAAATTCTGCAAAATAATTTTGAGCGTTATAAAGAAGTACTCGTACGTGGTTTCATGACGGACTCGAATTTTCATGCAATTCAATTCCCTCCAGATACGACTGAATCAGCAGACTCTAGATCTGCCAATCACGAATACTCCTCCTGAGAGAAATATCGAAGAACAGGACAGACCGTTGAAATCCAGTAACATGGCCGTCGTCTTAGAACGGAGGCCTGGGACATCCAAGGCTTTGAAGCCTTCCATGTCACCACCTCCACACATGGTGGATTGCACAGAACAAACCAAAGAAAAGACGGTCTTGACAGCAGACCAACCCGAAGCAAAGCCCGTAGGCCAACCCGAAGAAAAACCTATGCCGACAGCAGAGACCCATGTCCGATGTGCACTTGCAGCTCGTTGTTCTTGGGGGGCCGAATGGCTGGCTTCCTATTGGGACGGAGTTTTGCCCTTATATCCCCAAACAAGGACTTGCACTATTTGACAAAACAGCTAACGAGCTTATAATCCTGGATGAAACCCCTGCATTCACATGTGACCGTTGCTACACTCGCATCAGGAAGCTCGAAGACAGGTTGTTGAAAAGCCGGATAAAGGTCCCCTAGGCCAGCTTATGTACATGTTTGGGCACATGTAAATAGAAGTGTAAATTCCGTTGTGCGTTACATGGACCTCTCTGAGTTCACCATTGCCTCGTCTACCGGCACCCCCAGCAGTCAGTATTGCTCAAAACATCATCCACAAACTTTTGCTGGTGCTCCGAGCGGATACAATACTTGAAGATTTGAAGCCGGTCCATTTTGGGGGGCCAGTTGATTTCGTCGAAGGGTGTCTAAGCGTTACCTCAGTCGTTCACTAACTATTATTACAAGGCATGTTCATAATTAATTAAATTAAGCTCGACAGAAGTATTCGATTGTCGGTGTCTTTTGGACATCTGCTCCTTGGTTATACGAATTTTTACTGGGGGTTCCTTATCGCCCCGTAGGAACTAGACGTTGTTGTCTTCTGTTTCAACTCGGGTCCACGGGACGAAGGGCTACTGAGCCAGGGTTGCGACCAGGAATCGAGTTGGGCGGAGTATTCGTGTGTGATGCCGTACCGACCAACCTTCCGGGGCCTTTCATCGCCATACTCGGGGGGAGAAAATGTGTTCGGCGTTCTGGGCCCGGTGTCCAGGCGTTGGACTTGTTGCTCCAGAGCTTTGATCTTTTCTCTCCAACTCGCTTGCTCCGCAACTAAACCCTGGTGCTCCTTCTCCCATCCGGAAATTTTCGCCTGGACTTCCAGAAATTTACTGGAGATTGTCCTGTGTTCAAGACGAAGTTGGTCGTTTATATCCAGGAGATGCTGGTTTTCCGTGCGTAAGAGTGCCTGAGCTTCATAGCAATCATTGTGATGGGTAAGTAGTTGCCCCTCTAAAGCGGTTATTTTTTCCGCCCAAGTTTTCTGCTCAGTAACCACGCCTATCCGTTGCTGCTCCCATACGGCAAGTCGTGTCTGGATTTCTCGGAGCTTTACACCCATTAGACTATAATCAAGATCAAATTGTTGCTGGATATCTTCCCATGGGGTAGCGGCCGTAGAGTGCGGGTCTGCTACAAACCCTAGTTGGGACTGGAGTTGATCACGAATGGCGTGCTCGAGCTGATCCCGGTCTTGCATTGACCTGCGAGCCTCGTCCGTTTTCTTTGTGAGTTCTGACTTGAGTTCCCCACTACTCTCGAATTCTCTCCTCCCCAACTGAGCTAGCTTGCTTTCCCACATAGTTGTCGCATTGACAACTTCTTCACTCTTCTGGTTGAGTTGGTCGCTCAGTTGAGACTGCTCGCGTGCTAGCATGCGAGCCTCGTTCGTTTTCTTCGAGTCCTGCCTTGAGCTCCTGCAGTTCCCCCACTACTTGACAATTTGCTTCCTGCAAGGCCTTCAGCGCATTTTCCAACTTGGTCGTCGCACTGGCATGAACCTCTGCTTCAACGCCTACTTGAATCCGAAGCAGTTCGAGTTCGTGGTTGAGTTGAGCCCGGTCTTGCTTTAACACGTCAACCTCATCGAGGAGACTCTTCATTTCCACCATGTCCGACGCTACTGCTACTGGAGATTTTTCCTGTAAGTGCCGCAGATCCTGTTGTAATTGCGCTGTCGCCTTTAACGCCAGATCTGTTGTAATGACCGCTTTAGCATACCGCAGCTCGAGCTGGGTGCAATTGAGCGTCATTTAACTCGGAGCGAGGTTCATTTACCTGCCGGTATTCTTCATGCAGCGTCTTGCATTGCTCGCTGAGCCCCCTTTTCTCCACTTCTAGCCGATCGCCATTGGAAACATGAGCCGAGATCTCCTTCTGGGCTTGTGTCAACTTTTGTATGAGTTCTCTCTCCCCATCGAACCCCGTCTTCCACGCAAGCACGCTCTCCACCATTCGTCCTGCCTCAGGGCTCTGACTGAGATAAGTGTTGAGCAGAGTGTGTTGGATTTCCAGTCTGACAGTCAGACTTTCGTACTGTTTAGCACGGTCCAGGACTTGATCACGTCTTGTTGTCCATTGGTCCACACGAGTGGTGGAATGACCGTCGTCGCAGGTGAAGTTGAATTCATGAAGAACACCCTGTTTCTCAGCGGAATGGAGGCATGATTGGAAGGCCTTCTGGCAGAGAAGACGCAACTGGCATCATAAATGGGATCTTGAGGACTAAAAATGGTTCTTCGGAACTTCACAAGAAGATTGCCTAGTTTGGTGACAATTGCTGGCAAGAGTGAGCCAAGGATTTCGTCCAGTATCGCCGTGAGAGCCTCTTGCTCAGCAAGTTCTTGTCGAAGGGTCATGAATTCTTCTGTATCCTTTTGCGACTGGGATTTTCGGAGTTTATTCAAACTTTCGACGACGGCTTGCCGCCGAAAAACGACGAACTTGACATTTAAGGTCCAGCTTCTGGGTCACTATAGCGTCAAGGTGCAGTTTCCTATACAAAAGTCATGAACAACAGCTATAGGCCGACCGAAAATCCAACCGTGAATTCGAGGATGTCGGCATGGTCAAAGCTTTGTCAGAGCCCAACGATCAGACCCTGACAAATCTTGTGTGGACACCTGTTTGGACCAGTGTGTCCATTGGTGACGTTGTCTTGATCATGAACCTAAACCCCATGTCGAATGCCCGCTCGGCTATTTTCGGGGGCCAGGTCCCCTCAAGTATTCGACTAACACTTGGAAGAGGCGAACTTATTCAGTTTCGAAGCCCTTCAACTCGCGCCTTCATTCGGACGGGATGGTTTCCTTCGCATGTTGCCAGCACTGCATCTGCATACCATATCATGTTAAATCGTTTCCTATTCTACTGCAACATCATCGCCGAGAATCCTCATGAAGACCTGCTTAGACACCTTACCAGCGAGTTGATTGACGGCGGGCTCCGAAATACGCTAAACATGCGGGGGCAAAATTTGCATCACGCGATGCTGAATGCGCTCCTACTTGACGCAATCCTCGAATATGACTGTAACGGCGAAGACCAATGGCAACCTAAAGAATCTGACCTGTTGGGGTCCGACGGCACCGGAAACTCAGTCGTTATGATGCAGCGTATTCTCGGGGAGCCAATCCGTATTATGAAGGGCATAGCGAATGAGAGAGCTGGCCAAGTTTCTAAAGTCTCGACTTCCTTCGCAGTTTCAACTCGTCACTCACTTTTTTGGATAGATGTTGCATGGAACAACACTGGCCAGGATTGCAGACGAAGCTCTGGTGTCGTACGATCGTGTAAAGACAAATCGTCGGGCGGAATGCACAGCTCACGGCCTCATCCCAAAGCGATAAGTCCAGTACATATAGCTGCATCTATGCAAAAGATGTGGGTACCATCCCAAGGGGGTAATGCAAAAGATGTTGTGACAGATGTATTTCATGAATTTCTCACTGGAATTAAGAGATATGACTAATATAAAAATACATATAGGAAGAGAAATCATCTTTTCTTTGGGCCAAATATTCGTAATATTATATTTGGGACTTATAAGCCAAGGGACCAAAAAATTAAG